TTGGAATGGCTGAATCTGTCGAATGTCTGCAGGCCGCCAAGACCTTATATCAGTCCAGCACTGCGAGCGCTTGCCAGCGCGCCCGGCATGCCGCCGGTGACGCAGCACGGCCGCATTGATGGCGGCATGGATCCGACGGGTCAACCGCAGCAGCAGCAGCAACAGCTGCCGTCTACACTCTCCGGCATAATGCGCGCACCCAGACAAGCCCAGCCACAGCCGCCGGCTCAGGGCCAGGCCATGACGCAAAAGCGTCTTGGCGAGATTTTGCGCACTCGCCGCGACTCGGATCTGTCCAGCACGAGCACCAGCACCAGCAGCAGCAGTGCAGCCGCATCAACCACTCTGCAGCAGCAACAGCAGCAGCAGGAGAACTCTGGCGGCCAATCGCCGCGCAAGCGCAATCGCAACCGCAAGAAGCGCAACGACAAGAACACGCCCCGTTCCCTGAAGACCGAGCTGGAGGCAATGCGTAAATATATCAACAAGATCGTACAGCAGCATGTGGGCGCCGAGCAACTGCTGCCGGCGGAGCTGAATTTCAAGGGTGATTTCGAGGACTTGGAGTCGCACGCCAGACGCCTCGTGCAGGCTGGCTATGGACGCATTGTCGAGGAGGAGATACGCGTGAATCGCAAGAACAATCGCCAGGCCTTTATCACCATGTCGACGGATCGCGAGGCACTGGAGCGCGATGGCATCGTTCTGTTGCCAGTGGCACGACGTTATGCCTTCGAGGGCGACACCGTGCGCGCCTTTGTCTTGAATGTGGGCGCCGTCGTTACCAAGACAATGGATTCCGCAGCCGGCGGGATTATTGGTGGCAAGGCCTTACTGTCAATGGGTAAGTCAAGGTTAATCGGTTAATCTCATTCAATTTACAATCTGTTTTTTTTTATCGTAATCTCTGAACTTGGGTTTAGATATTTAAAATCGAGAGTGTGAATCGCGTCAATCATTCAGTCAGTTCGTCACTCAAATTTAAATTCCTATAGTTCATTATAATTATAATTATAATTAGCAGTTAGTAGTCAATCAATAAGCCATCCAATCAATCAGTCAATCAGTCAATTAATAAGTCGTCAGTCAAGCAGTCAGACAATCAATCGCGAGTCAATCAAGCCATCGTGTCATCCATCAGTCAGTCAATCAATAAATCATCCAGGCAGTCATTCAAACAGTTAGCCAATCCATCAATCACTCAGTAATCAATCACTGTCAGTCAGACCATCAGTCGGTCAATCATCAAGTGAGTCTATCACTTAATCATCACTTGCTAGTCCGTCAATCAATCAGGCAGTAAAACAGTCAGTCTTTCCATCAGTCAACCAATCAGCTGCTAATACTATCCCCGTTGCAGGTGAGGATGAGGAGCTCTCGGAGGAGACAGAATCACAGGACTCGGATGATGACAATGTGGCCGTAATAGCCTCGGACAACTGCCCCAAAGCGTTTGTCATTGCCATTGTGAAGCAAACGGAACTGCGACAAATTGTGGGCAACATATCATTTACGAATCCCACCAAGCTCTGCGACGAGGAGCTCTTTTACAAATTTCGACCATTCGATTTACGCATGCCCATGGTGTACATACCGCAGGCCAGCTGCGCGGCACACATCGGCAACAAGCAGCCGGACGAGGTGTGCGGCCTGCTCTATTTGGCGCACATTCTGGAAACGGATTGCAATGGCCATTGCATTGCGGAGCTGGTGCAGCCCGTCGGCCGTGTGGGCAATCTGGACGATGAACTGAAGGCCATACTCTTTCATAATAGTCTGCGGGATGTGGTGCCCTTTGAGGAGCGCTTCAATCAGATGTACGCACAATCTGCGCCGCCTGTAACTTCTCAAGATTTGGTGAATCGTCGGGATATGCGCAAGAGCTGTGTCTTCACGATTGATCCCCTGACGGCGCGCGATCTGGACGATGCGCTCTCCATTGAGCAGCTGGGCGAGAATGTGTTTGAGGTCGGGGTGCACATCTCGGATGTCTCACACTATTTGCAGGAGAACAGCGAGCTGGACAACATTGTTAAGGAGCGCTCGACATCAATTTATTTGGCCAACGAAGTGATTCATATGCTGCCGCAAACGCTATGCTTCCGATGCTCGCTGCTGCCCGGCGAGGATAAGTTCTCGTTCTCCGTTTTTTGGCGCATGGATGGCGATGGCAATCAGCTGGACAAGCCCCAGTTTACGCGCTCCATCATGAACTCGTGCACACAGTTTGCCTACGAGCATGCCCAGAAGATAATTGACAATCCCCGCGAGCGTTTCACCGACGTCGACTTTCCCAACATCCTGAACGGCTTCACGGTCAACGATATCGTCAAGCGTGTCACCTGGCTGCACGGCATTGCGTGCAATATGCGCGGCAAACGTTTCGATAACGGCGCCCTGACCATCAACAATGCCAAGGTGCGCTTCAGCCTCGATCCGCTGACCGGCGAGCCGATGGGCTTTGAGGTGGAGAAGCAACGCGAGGCGAATCACATGATTGAGGAGTTCATGCTGCTGGCCAATCAAGCGGTGGCAAAATTTATACACGATGCCTATCCCAAAATAGCGGTGCTGCGCAATCATCCGCCGCCGCTGACCAAATCCCTCAAATCGTTGCGCGAGAAACTGCTCTCCCAGGGCTTCGATCTGGACTACAGCTCCTCGAAGGCTCTGCAGGCAAGCATGCAACGCTTGTGCAGCGAGGCCGCCGATCCCATTGCCATGTCCGCCTGCCTAAGCCAGCTGCTGATGAAGCCTATGGCGCGCGCCACGTATGTAGCCTAGCCAAATGGCGTCTGTTATACCCTGTACTAACTGAAAATTGCTAAAAAGAAAGGGTAGTGTGGTTTTCAGGAGACAGCAGGAGGCTTGTTCGAATCCATACTATATACATATTATTTTTTGAGTCCGAAACGTAGCTAATCCCATTGCACCAAGTTTGGTTCGATTTAAAAGATCGATAAGCCATGTTAATTCGCCATCGATAAATATCGATTTACAGTTTTTGAGAGCTTCCCTCATATAGCCTTAACTTAAGGAATATTCATACAAATATCAGAAGTTCTTTGACAGTTCACAGATGAGTACAGGGTATCTGCTAGCTGTGCACACCCACTTGTTAATTATCTATATCTTACTCTCTCTCTCTCTCTCTCTCTCTCTCTTCGCTTACAGTTACTTTTGCAGCGATGGCAAGACAGAACCGTCTGATCTGTGGCATTACGCCCTATCCATACCCATCTATACGCACTTCACCAGCCCCATTCGACGTTATCCGGATGTTATGGTGCATCGGTATGAATTACTCCGATATATATATAGATTACTCTACCAACTAACAGTGGGCTGTCTTCTATTGCAGTCTGCTCGCCGCCGGCTTGAACTACTGCGCCGCACCGGAACGCACTCCGGATGAGCTGCATCATCTGACCAAAGTGGCCAATGAGCGTAAATATAATGCCAAACAGGCGGGCGATGATTCCAGCAATTTGTTCTTCAAGCGCTATGTGAGCAATCGCCAGGTGATTTACATGCGTGCCGTTGTCATGGAGATCTTCCAGCACATGATGAACGTGGTTACCCTGGAGTCGGGTCATGTCATTGCCATTAACTATAAGATGCAACGTGTTCTCATCGATACGCATAACGCACCCAATTTCATACTGGTCGCCGAGCGCAACATGAAGCAGACGCCATATAAGCTCCAGCTGCTGTCCGTGGTGCCCATCCGGCTGATTATATGGGATGGCAAGCTAACGGGATTTTTGCTGACTGCCGATCAACGTCAGAAGGGGCCCAGCATGGAGCATTCGGGCGTAGTGTTGCGTAAGGACAACAAAAAACAGCAACAGCAACAACAACAACAACAACAACAGCAGCAACAGCAGCAACAGCAGCAGACGGCGGCAAAATCGACTAAATCGCCCAAAAATGTACACTTAAAAAATGCTCAACAGCAGCAGCCACAGGAACAACAACAACAACAACAACAACAACAACAGCGTCTGCGTCGACAGCAACAGCAGCAGCAGCTGCAACAGCAGCAACAACAACAGCAGCAGCAGCGTATGTTTGCCTTGCGCAAAAACAGTTCGTAAGCTCAATGAGAACAAACAAACAACATAAACAAAAACATAACATATAACAGCAAGTACACCCGATTATGGACAGCAGGCGGGCAGGAGCCCACAAAAGACCGCATTTACATGTGCAGGCATTTTCTATTTTCTTTTTTTTTACGTTGCTGTGCGTTTTCAGCTCAATTTCAAACACAACGAATCGAGTATAAATTGCCCGCGACTTGTGTGTACTAAATGAATTATCGATAATTGACCAAGTTGCAAACTTTGATGTCGATTTGCAATCGAGAAAAAAAAAATAAGCGAAAAATCGAAAAAAAAAAAAAAAAATTAACAATTTCTTTGGTCCATATATTTAAAATTTGAGTCTAAATTTACAGTTGACAAAAACAAACTACCAACAAAGCACAACAAATCCGACCTTGCATTTTAAGAGAGCAAAGAGAAACGCAAATTTAATATACCCCATCTTGAACCGGACCAGGCTGTTAATGGAGTATGTTAACTAACACTTTTTGTTGCACTTTTAACGAAAAGTTACTTGTTGTTGTTATTCGTTGCACAGTGTTGCATGTTATTTGCAGCACAAGAGCTAGATGGTATTATGAATATTGTGGCGACACCTTGCGAAAATTGAAAGAAGTTAATCATGCTCGCATAGAAAAAGAATTCAAATTTATTAAACAGCAAACTCCTTCAGCTAACAGTGAATGCAGGCCGTTTGCATATAATAGTAGACTTGATTGAAAACGAATTAATTATGCAAGCCAAAGAAAACTTGTTCAAAATTACCACTGTAAGAAAGTTTTTCATTAAATTTTTATATTATAAAAATTAAAATAAAATATCACGTTCGAAACGATAAGTCGATACGAAATCACATCACTAATATCGATACTATGTAACAGCCCAATGGAGAGCATAACAGTGCCACAGTTTGGGCAATATTGGCTCTTCTATTGTAACATTGTTCACAGTTTGAGCCGCATTGCTTAAATTCTGTCGTTCGGTAAGGTTGATTCGTCCATTAATTATATTTATATGTGGAAAAGAAGGCAAATTAAGTAAATACCGAAATGTTAGCGGCCAGCAGTTAAGCCCCTTAAGTGTATACAACTGCTGAAAAATGTAACTCAATATTAATATCAAAGCAGTTGTCATCAACCAATTGCGTGCTTCACTGTTACGGCAAAAGGAAAGCGCAAATGAAAAAATATATACACACAGCCAGAGGCAGCAACGGAGCATCGCAACAAGACACTGTCGCAGGCGGCGCATGCTCGAAGGGCGCTGCTGTGGCATCAGATACGCCAAAATCGCGCCTAATTTGTTGAAACATTTATCAAACGTGCTGTCTGTGTGTGCGTGCGTGTTCGTAGAAATGGCATATTAATTATAAAAAGAAAAAAAGTGCAGACATCAGGCCAAATAACGGCGCAGCGGTGGCGGGGGTACGAAATCATCGACCAGCCAAGAAATCAACAGTGCTGTGGAAAAAAGTGAATAGCACAACTAGCGCTACGCAACACTGGCTGCATATAGCCGTCCCACTCCCGCCCATGCGGGAGGCAGCGCGTTTGTTTGTGGGCTAGTTTATTGGCCATCTGTTTTGATTTTCTCTTCGTAAAATTAAGCGCGCGAAAGGAATGCGCGTGTACTTTCTTACTCTCGCCAAAGGCAACAGTGTGGGTGTGCTCTGTAAATGTATGTGTGCGTGTGCGTGTATCGCAATTTACTTCGCGCGCGCTTTTGATAATTGATAAGCTCGTGTTTGTTTGTGTATCTCAAACAATTCGACAATAACAACACACACACACACACAACACTCACACACACACACACGCACACATGTTGCACACACGTTTACATTTTTGCCGCCATTGAGATAGCGTACATGAGTTTAGTTATTGTTCTTATACCCATGCAAAGGGTTTAGTTTACCAAACACACATTTATTGGATCTTATTTACCATTATCTATTTAATACTCATTTCTTGTATTTTACGTCCTTATGCACAGAGTTTGTCAAGCGAATGTAAACAAGCAACAACTGGGAACGACCAGAAGGCAACAAGCAACAAGCCCAGGAATTGTTTTAATTTATTCTTGCAGAGAGCCAAGTTTCTAATACACAAAGCATACATAAATGGTTTCTACTTTCATTGGCCTATTGGGTAAGCAGCCGGTCCCATATATCGAATATATTAATAAATCAGAAATTTCTTCCCCAGACATACAATCATGGTGGGAGATACCGTGTATTTCGCATTTCTGTTCATTGTTTAGTTCCGCCTTCGATTTGCCCGACATTGATATAGAGGTCTGTTCTTTATCAACACACTTTCCATTGATTTGTATTACATGCAGTCTGTGTCTGTGTTTTGCAGGATCTCGAATCGGCGCTGCTCTCCGATGGTACCAGCGATGAGGATCAAGTTGCCTTAGTGCCCGAATTAATTGTACGCCTGCTGACCGGCTGCGATGCGCTACAGTCGGTAGCCAATGAGATAACACACAGCAATTATCAGATGTTTTTGCGCCGTTTCCTGCGCCAACAGTGTCGCCTGCATCAGACAGAGAATCACTTTGATACGGACATTGACTTTCAATCGCTGCCGGTGCGTAAGCGTCTACAAATTCTGCACGATCTGTGCCATTTTCGCCTGGACTCTGTCGATGTGCAGGTCATCCTAAGCAACCTAGAGGCGGACAGTTTGCGCGTTGAGCCGCTCGGCTACGACGCCAAAAATTCGGGATATTGGTATTTCTACGGTACGCGACTCTATCGCGAGGATAAGGCGACAACAACGGCCACTGCTTCCGGTTCGGGCAAGTCAGCCGCTGCTGCTGCTGCGCTCTCAAGTAGTGGCGCCGGCTCTGGTGGCCATACGATCCTAGGCGGCAACAGTACCGTCTGGCAGGTCATTTGTTTCACCGAGGAGGATTGGCAGAATTTGGCAGCCAAATTCAAGACCTCAACGAATGGTAAAGAGCGCGAACTCTTCCAAATACTGGATGAGAACTTTCTGCCCAAGCTGCCGCAGCTGTTTCGCGAACGTGAACGTCTGAGACGCAGAAAGTAAGTGATTAAAGCTGCAACTAACTGTTGAACACGTAGAACTTTCGCTTTAAGATCAAGTCCTTTATGTAAAGAAACTAAATAGCTTTGATGTATTCAGTTATCCAATTGGGAAATCCAAAACAATGCGAATACTTTTATGCAATAGATTAAAGTTTTGTTGCGCCTCAAGTAACACATTGCAAAAGACATATTCGACATCAAAGAGTATACATATTCTTACATAGTTACTTAGTTTTTGAGTTAGTATATAAATATCAAGCTTCATATTGTATAAATATGAATAAGTTGCTACAGTCTTCAATGAAAGGAGCGATATGTCAGGCTAACATGGTCACAGTTTGTCAAGAACAGAATATTTGTGAGAGGGGCTAGCAGAAGTAGCTTGGAAAGGAATCTGTATCGTAGTTTAACTATATTGCCATTCATATTAATATTTACATATAAGGGCTACATAACGTAGCTATGCGATATAATGTCTGAATATAAGGCAGATTTGGCAGCCCTCTTATTTTAGATATATATATATGCAATTGTATATCCGTTCTAATAATTGAATGTATTTTGTATTCATTACACAGATTGCTGCAAGTGCGCAACTCCAGTCGCATACGTAATCTCGCCGAGCTCAAGGCGCGCCAGGAGGAGGAGCGTGTTAAGCGCGAACGCGAACGTGAACGTGAACGCGAACGCGAACGTCGTGAGCGACAATATTCAGCTCATTTGGCGCCGCCGGCGGTACAGCAGCGCTCACGCAGACGGTTAGCACGTCCAGTATTATAAGCAGAGAGCCAGAGAGAGGGCGGACAGCATTTCACAATCATATATCACACATTGAGAACAACGACAACAACAACAACAACAACCACAACAAACACACAGACAACAACAACAAACAGAACAATTCAAGCACACGCACATCTATCTAAAGCATATTTTGTTTTTTTTTTTTTTTTTTTTAAAAAAGTTGCTGTTTAATTTGATTTACAAATTGATTTGTTTTTCTACTCTTTTTAATTTTCAATTGTTTTCACTTAAACAAAATTTGCTTGCAATTTGTGTTTGAAGAATTGTCATTAAGAAACAGAGAGAAAAGAAATACAAAGCATAAAAAAAGAAAGAAAATATCACATTCTCATCGACGCTTAACACAGGCTGCCGCCAGCGAGAGACTGAGAGAAACTGGACCAAATATTGAAGGAGACGAAACAGCACTTAATTTGAGTTTTGCCCATAATTTAATTTTGTGTGCGACAAACAATTGGTTGGATTTCGTTTTCAAAAAAATAAAAACTATAACACACAATATGAACAATTATGTAAGCATGCTTTTTAAATATTCCTATATTTGATATAATGCCAATTTATTATACCTTGTTTATTTTTTTATTTTTTTTTTTTTTGATGAATATTATTATTGTTATTTAGCATATGTTGTGGCACCTCATTCATTCAGTTATCATCGAAACAAAAACAATTTAACGCAGACTTTCATATAAAATCCAGCGATCGCTCGAAAACTAGATCTTTTTTTATAATCTAATTAATTAAAAAACATTTTGAAAAGCCTTTCAAGGGATTAACTATTATTATAAACCAAAATAGATTATATTTTTATTTGTTATTTGAATTGGTAATTAAAAAAACCCTTGAAATTCGTATATTATATTCTCTACAAAAAAAAAAACTACGAGAACAGTTTCTTTAGACTTCACATTCCATTTAAACATTTCATTTGCGCGTTAGTCTTAAGCGATTTCTACTGTACGTGTGACATTAATTAAGCTTGTCGTAACATTTCCTGTGTTTTGTCAACCATAATTAACCATTATCTGCTTTTGCTCTTTTCTCTTTCTCTCTTTCTTTTACTACCTCTCTCTGCAGTTCTCAATCGACCTCAACGGCTAGCGGTATTTCAACTTACGCAAGCTCCCTCAGACGTACAACAACAACTAATTCGAGCGAATTTCTGTGCCACAGGGAAACCTTTTGTCTATCGCCAGAAGACGATGACCAAAACGACGACGAGGAGCCGAATCAAGAGCAACAGCAACAACAGCAACAATTAGCGCAACAACAACAACACGAGCAACAACAACAGCAACAAGAAGAAGAGGAACACGAGCAGCAGCAGCAAGAGCAGCATTTAAACGCTGTGACAGCAGCTGGTGATAAATTCCGTTCACCGCCACCGCCGCCCAGAGAAAAATCACAAACGCCAGCGAAATTCAAGAGCAAGAGCCACCATCATCATCATCATCATCATCATCACCACAAGAAGAAAAAGTCTGGCAAGAAGCAAAAGAAACGCTCACGCGAGCGTCGCGATCGAGAACGGGAACGAGATCAACATCATCATTATCATCACCATCGACGGCGTCATAAGCATGCGTCTGAGACAGACGAGCACTGCGAGGACACCAACAACAATAACAACAACGAGCAAAGCAACAACAGCAGCAGCAGCACAACAGTTGCTCGCAGCCACAAGCGACGCCACAGTCGCCAGCAGCAGCAGCAGCAGCAACAGCAGCAGCCGCAGCAGCAGCAACAACAGCTGGAACCGAGCCCAGAGACGCACGAGCCGCAGCTGCTGCACGCCGCGTCGCTGAGTCCCGAGGATAAGGAGAACTTTTGCCGACAGCTGCAATTGCTGGATTCAAATTCGGCGGCCATTGCGGTCGCCACAAGCATTGCGAACCTGAGCCTGCCCTCGCCTGTGGCGCATGACAGCGAGGAGCAACTGCAGCCAGCAGAGCCAAACACAGCACAGCCAGTGGCTGCCAAGCGCGAGGAGCAGATGGCGCCAGCGGCCAATGTGAAGCTGCCCGGCCGGCAAACCAACAATTCACTTAGCTCCCTAACGGGCAACATTTTTATACCAACTGGCGGCAACGCGTCCGCCCACCAGCAGCAGCAACAGCAACATAGCAACAGCAACTCCGCAGCCGAGACGACGGCACGGTCCAAGAAACAAAAGGCCAGTGTGAGCGCCGGCAGCTCCGGCAGTAAAGCGGAACGCAGTGCCAGCAAATCGGAGGCGCCGGCGAAAAGCAAAAAATCAACGGCGGCTGCAGCGCCCTCCTCGGCCGCCTCCAGTGCCTCGTCGTCCAGCAAGGCGGAGCGCTACAGCAGCGCCTACTCCGACAAAAGTGCCGATGAGTAAGTCTCACTAACTAACTAACCAATTAGACTAGACAAAACATAGCACTGCACACACTCTTTATGTTAAATACTAACGCAAGTATCTCAAGATCTTCCGAAACTCAATTTCATATTTGTAAACACGCTGTAAAAACTATCTTTAACCCAACATATCATACATTTTGTTTAGACAGTACAAATATATGTGGCAAGTCGTCCAGCGGAAATTCTACCTTTAAAGAGCTTTTGTCTATCCGTATCACCTGTCTGTTCATTAAGAACTCGACTCTATGTGAAGCTAGACTGGGAAAATTTGGTTTACATGATTTCCATTGCTGCAGAAAGTACTTAAGCATAATCCGATTGACAAGTTCTATAGTTTATACAGGAGTTCACGGTTCGAACTTTGTAAAAACAACTTGTGAATAAAATATTTTTACCAAACTTACCAGTCATATGATTAATTCACATAAAAGTACTATATAATCAAAAGTATATAGTTCAAAGTGAAGCAAAATGCTGAAAAGAAAGAAAAAAAACCAGAACTTTATTGAATGAAAAATTCTAGAAATATAACAATAAATAAAATAGGGTACTAAGCTTCGGAAAACCAAAGTTAATATTATTTTTATAGAGCTTAACAAAGTACTCTTCATTTATCTCGTAATTGTAGTTTGTATTTCGTTATTGTCTGCATGTCTATAGAACCTACTCTCCTTCTACCTTTGCACTCTTCTTGACTAACCGACACATCATATTTCATTAAATTGTATATAATATATCAATTGATTAACATTTTATTACCCATTGTTATTGTAAACTTTTGTACCTACCAAAACGAACAACCAACCAAACAACCAAACAACCAACCAACAACATATTGACTGTTCATCATAATCGTAAAAAAAAAACATACCAACAAAATGTAGCCATGTAAATAGTAACAACCGTAGCAACAGCAGCTTTAACAACAACAACAACAACAACAACCACCACCACCACCACCACCACCATAAGCACGCGTCGCACCACAATCACAACAACAACAACAACAACAACAATCACAACCACTCAACGCCGGAAGCAACAACAACCGCAATAAAAACAACAACGTCGCACGGAGTAGCCCACACACCTTCACACAACACCCATCACACGCACAACAACACCCACTTTCATAGTCATATTAACAGTAATAAACATAAATCTCACTCCTCGACAACAACAACAACAACAACAACAAACCTAACCAGACCCATAACACACAATCTAACAACAACAACAACAACAACAACAAACCCAACAACAATCACAACAACTTCAACAACAGCGAAAGCAAACAACAATTCAACGTACAACTCCTCAAATCATGCGAATATTCTTAGCTTTACCGAAACGGAGGAGGTTCTACAAATCGGAATGCACAAGGTGCTCGTCTATGTCAAAAATCATCGGGATGCATGGCCCTTCATGGATCCCGTTGAGGAGGATATTGCGCCGCGCTATTACTCAATCATTAGAAGGTAAACTATAGCCATATAGATGTAATAAATACCAATTGATTTATCCTGACGCATTCTCTGAAAGGTGACAATAGAGCTTCGATGTGGATTGTCTGCTTGTCAGACTAGCTAATGAGAGGTCGCCAATTCTAATTGCATTTTCAACATTATTCATTAAATCGAATTTCATGAAGTTTAATATACATCATTACTCCGAAATAATAAATAATCTAGATGTTGGATCCATAAACCTGGGTGCTTCACATCTTTTCCAATTGTTGCACTCACATTCGAATAGGCTGCACTTTCTTAGATCTAAAGCGTTTCGGGCAAAAATTGTTTCGGTCACATTGAACAGAATTTTTTTATTGCCAAAAGGTTTTTAAGCCCAACCATTTTTTCTATATAGCCCAAACCGAAGACTAGTTGGGTGTAAGCTTTAGTTCAGTATAAACGAAAAGATTAGAACTCGCTTGGTTCAAATCCTGATATATAAGTATATCGAGAACTCAATTATTTATCAAATATTTCTCATATTCTCTAGGCCCATGGACCTGCTCAAGATGGAGGACAAACTGGACAGTGGAGAGTATCACAAGTTTAGCGAATTTCGCAATGATTTTCGCTTGATTGTCAACAATTGTCGTCTGTACAATGGCCACAACAACGGTATTGATTATCTCGTTGCATGGTATCTATATAAATATATATCATTAACAACATTTTCAACCCACCAACAGAGTACACGGAAATGGTCAACAATCTGCAGGAAGCCTTCGATAAGGCAACAAAAAAATATTTCGATAATCTCTCCGAGGACGATGATGATGATCCGAATTTAAGTTATCCCGCCGCTGATTCCAAAATGAACGTCTTTCGCGAGAAGTACTTCAGCAAGAAGGCGAAAGGTGACGAGGAGAAGGAATCCTCGGCGAACTCTGCGTCCAGCAAGCGTCTGCAGGACAGCAGCGTCGAGGAGGGGCACCATAGCGACACAGAGGAGCCCGCGGAGGCGACAACACACGCGCAGAAGCGCAAGCGCAAGGAGAAGGATAAACGACGCAAGAAGAAAACCAAAAGCAAAGCGGACAGAAGCAGTCACAACGATGACATGGACACCGATGAGGAGGACCTGGAGCCAGAGCCACCACCGCCGCCGCCGCCGCCGCCAGCAATGAAAAAGAGCAAAAGCAACAAAGTACTTAAGGAAAAAGACAAGGATAGGGACAAGGACAAAGAGCTAGCTGGTGGATCCTCAGGCAAACGTGGACGCAAGGCCAAAGGCAGCAAGTCGTCGCAGGGCCAGGCAACCAGCTCCTCGAAGCCCAACACCAAAACACAAAAGACCAAAAAAGCGGGCAAAAAGTCAACGCCCGAAACGGAGCCAGAGTCGGAGCTAAGCGAGCCGCCGCCGCCTAGTGAGCCCGAGTCTAGCGACGATGATGAGCTGGCCTTGGCCAAGGTCAAGTCCCTGGTGAAGCCGACGGCGCGCACAATCGCGGCACAAAAAAAGAAAATGGTGCCCGCCGAGTCGAAGGTGAAGACCCCAACGCCCGTCAAGCGTCAGCCAAAGAGCAAAAGAGTTGGACGCGGTCGCGCCAAAGCCGATCGGGAGCTGGCCGAACTGGACGACGATGACGATAGTCTACTGTACGACATCAATGCAAAGAAACAGCTGCCGCCAACAGCTGCTGCGGCGCTGGCTGAATCCGCTGCAGAGCTGGAGGAAGATGACGAGGACAATGACGATGCGGACGACGATGATGATGATGCGTCCAGATCGCGCAGCATGTCACCCTTCAAGGTGGATCTGCACAAGAAATACTCAAAGAGCGCACTCAACGATGATCTCTCCGAGCTGCTGACAACTGTCAAGAAGGTGACCAGCGCCGAGACCTCCAAGCTGAGCGCACGCCACGAAGGCGACAAGTCCGACCAGGACTCGGAGTCGGACTTTATGCTGCTGGGCGCCAGCTGCCACAGTAGCTCCGATGAGCGGCGGCGCCGCCCACCCTCGCCGGTGGCCGTCAAGCGGGGCAAGAAAATCGAGACGTCGCTAGTAAAGAAGGAAAAGGAGCGGGAGAAGAAAAGCCGACAAGACAAAGACAAAGACAAAGAGAAGGATAAGGACAAGGATAGGGACAGGGATAAGGAAAAGTCGCGCAGTGCCAAGCACAAGAAGAGCTCAGCGGAATCAGCGGCTGCTGCAGCCGCTGCTGCCGAGCAAGCAGAACTGGAGATGTTGTTGCCATTCATGGACAAATACGATGTCATCAAATATCGACGCAGTCGCGCCGCGCAAAGTGGCTCCACCAGTGCAACCAATTCGCTGGCACCCTCCGAGGACTCCAAGTCGACGAGTGTCAAGAGCGTCTCCACAACCAAAAAGAAACGCGAAAATACCATAGAGCCGGCTGCGGAGCATAAACGTGGACGCAAAAGCAAAGAGCAGAAGCATCCAAAGGAATCGAGTCTAAACGACAAAGCGGCTGCCAAGCAGGAGAGGAGCGAGAAGGCGGAGGAGAAGTCCGTGGAGAAGGCCAAAAAAGCAGAAACGCCAAAAAACGTTGAGAAGCCGCCGCGGGAATTGACGCCGCCGCCGCCGCCGCCGCTCGCAAAGACCTCAACGACGCCGGCGCCAGTTGCTCGGACAGAGCTGGCCAGCGGCAAGGATGCGGCCAAGGGCAGCGGAAGTGCTGGCGCCAGCAGCAATGCCAAGCCGAAGGAGAGCAACGTCAAGGCAAGCAGCAAGAAGCAGAGAGCCGATAAGCAAATGCCGCCGCCGCCAAAGCCCGCCGAGAAGACAACAGCGGAAAAGGGCGCCGGTCACAAAAAGCTGACCGGCAAAAAGGCGGCGGCAGCCGCGGCAGCTGCACAAAAAGCGGCCCCCAGCAGCAATACCAATCTGGAGGCGCTCGACGTGGAGACGGAGCAAACGCTGAAGGACATCAATCGCTGGCTGGAGCACACGCCGCGCTTCTCTGAGTTCAGCTCCGCCAGCAATTCGCCCTCGCGCTACAATCTGCTCGATGACTTCGACTCGGCCATTGGCAGCAAACTGGACGCGGCCGACTTTAGGCGACCCGTCGCCCTGGCTGCGCCCAAGGCGGAACTGGTGCCCACCAAGCTGGCAGAGGCGCTCAACGAGCTGGTCAGTGAAACATCGGCGAGCAAGACGAGCGGCAACAAACTGGACGCGGATACTTTGCCCACGGCCAGCAGCGTGAGCAGCAGCTGCGGCACGCCGCCGCATTCGATGCACTCGGGCAACTCCATAGGCAGTACCTCGGCGACGGCGGCTAGCTCGAGCTCCGCCTGCTCCAACAACTCTACCTTATCCGCGCAGCAGCAGCCAACAGCAGCAGCGCCGCCCGTCGCCGCGGCTCCGCCCACAGCAGCAGCAGCAGCAACAATTGCGGCGGCAACCGCCCCGCTCGTCAAGCCAAAGGAGCCGAGCAGCACACAGCTGTTGCTGAATCCGCCGCCGCCGCCGCATATTAAGCAGCAGATGGCCAAGGAGGCGAAGCGCAAGTCGCTCAAGGAGAAGCTGGCGGCCAATGCACAGGCGCAGCAGGCCAAGGCCAAGGCGAACGTGATGCGCACCATCGAGCGACTGCAGCCGGGCAAGACCAAGGGCAATCTGATACAGAATGTGGTTGGGCCAAAGGCGGATGAGCTGGAAACGCTGCTCTGTCCGGTGGTCAGCAAGTCCAAGTCAGAAGCCAAAAATGCGCTCATCACCGAGTGCAGCGACACGGCACCAAAGCTCAGCCTGGGCACGGTCATTAAAACGCAGGACTTTGCGCTGGGCAAGACACTGGAGGAGCTGGCGAACCAGCAGCAGGAGCACGATCCGGAGCCCAAAGAGCACAGCAGCGCAGAGGAGTCAGCAGCGGCCACAACGCCTACCAAGGAGACAATGCCCAAGCCGTTCGAGGCGCTGCTCGAGCTGAGCAAAGCCAGTGAAATGGCCTCGAAGGCGGCCGCCTCAGCCGAGACCAAGGAGAAGCCGAATCTGAGTGCATGGCTCAAAGCTTTTGGCGGCCCCAAAGTCAACAAGAAATCCACCAGCGAGGAGGAGAAACCGCCAACGACAACACAGTCACAGCTGCTGGCTCAGGATGACGCCCGGGTGGCGCCACCCGCCCATTCGCCCGCCGCCGGCGATACGAACTTTTCGCTGCCCGTGGTCATGCGGCAGCGCAAGCCTAGCACTGGCAGCACGAACTCGGAGCGCAGCTCATTCAGTCAGGATCCGGACTCGCCGCGAATAGCCATCGATGAGCGTTACGGTTCCTATGCGGCTGGCTCGTATACATCGCCCATCTGCGCCTCGCCCATCGGCGCCTCGCCCATTATGGTGTCGCCCAAGCCGAACGATGACATGGGCAAGCCGGCGTCACCGTATACGCTGAATGGCGCCATCAAGGTGGGCTTCTATCAGGACACGACGACCAAGAGCAGCCCGGATAAGAGCTGCAGTCCGCGCGAAATGAACTCGCCGTATCCGCAATATTCGCAGCACATTTACTCGTCGGCATCATCGCCAAATGTGTCCACGCCCGAGCTGAGTGGCACTTCGCCTTATGGTGGCGGCAATAGCTATAATCCGTCTGGTTCGGAGGCGTCCAAGACGCCAGCCTATTCCTCCACCTCGCCACTGCCCATCTACGATCAGTACAAACAGCCGCGCTCCCAGGAATCCGACTACAACTCATCGATGAGCCCCAGCACGCCCAATCCGCATTCACCCTACCAACAGCCGCAGAGTTCGCCCTACACCACGCCCCATTCGACGCAGCCTTCGCCCTATCACGCCCAGTCGCCCTACCATCAGACCGCGCAATCGCAGCCTCAGTCACAGCAGCAGCAGCAGCCCTCGCACAGCCCTAATCCTCAGCAACAGCAGCAGCAGCAGCAGCAACAGGCGCTCAGCCCAATGCCCAGCAGCGTGGATTCGCCTGCCTCCTCGGCGGCCACACAGCCGCCCACCCCGCTGGCACAGTCACCGGCCGAGCAGCAGCACTCGCCGTACCAACAGCCTGTGCTGTCGCCCTATCAGCAGCAAGTCGTGCCGCCGCCGACGCCTGTGGTGCCGGCCCCAGTGGCAACGAGCCAACCAGCTGCAGCACCTGTGGTGCCTTTAACAGGTAAGTTTACCCCAACCCCAGCAAATAGTCGCTGCTCCGACTTACAGTCTTAAGCAAAGCATCAGCAATACATTTTTAAAAGTTCCACGCGTTTTCCGCAGATGAAAGTGAATTGTCTAAAGAAACTTTTTAATTGTAGTCCAATCATAGAAACATGTCTAATCCAACTTCTCCTTCCAGCAACAATGGGCAACAATGGCTATGCACCAACGCATGACAACTACCAGCAGCAACAGCAGCAGCAGCAGCAGCAACATTCTTTGTACAATCCGGCAACGCTGATCAATCCGCTACCACCTGCTGCTTCCGTGGCGGTATCCACAGCGACGCCTGTTGTGGCTAAGGCTAACAACAATGATTGGAGTCTGGGACACAGCCTGCTGCCGCCTAACCTAGCCACGAATCAGGTCACACAACAACAGCAACAACATCAAAATCAACAGCAGCAGCAGCAGCAACAACAACAGCAGCAGCAACAGCAACATCAGGCGCTGGCTCATCAGCAGCAGCTGCATGGCATGAAGCCCAAATATCCAACCTATGCACAATATCAGTCGACAAATGCGGCGGCCAATGCAGCAGCAGCCGCAGATGCTGTTGACAGTCAACAACAACAGCAGCAACAGCAACAGCAGCAACAGAAAATTGTGCCGCCCAGCTATGGCAGCGATATGGCCACTTTTATGCAGCACCAAATGCAGCAGCCCGCCAAAACTGATACGTTGATCAATCCGTTGAAGCGAGCTAACGAGGATTACAGCGATGTTGCTGCCAGCAAACTGACCAAGCTGGACGAGAATCATGTGCAGCAGCAGCAGCAGCAATTGCACACAGCAACACAGCAGCAGCAGCAACAGCAGCAACAGCAGCCACCGCTGCTCAATAAGCAACAGCAAATGTTCAATAGTTTTCTGGGCTCCATGGCCTTTAACAAGCAGCTGGGCACCATAGCGCCAGATAAGGCATTCGAAATGTATAATCGCGCGGCGGCTATGGGTTTTCCCAAGGACTTTGCCAAGGACAATAGCGTCTGCAACATGCAGCAGCAGCAGCAACAGGCAGCAGCCAACAAGCAGCAGAGCACTCAGCAGCAGCAGCAGCAACAACCGCAGCCGCATTTGACACAGCTGCAGCCGCCGCATAATCTGAATTATCAGCAGCAGCAGCAAAAGTTGCCGCTGCAACAACAGCAACAGCAGCAGCAGCCGCACAAGCCGCTTAACTATGGCAACAATAGCAACAACCTGCAACAGCAGCAGGCACAGCCCGCACAGCAACAACAACAACAACAAGAGCAGCAGCAACAGCAACAGCAGCAACAGCCACACAATGCCTACCAGCAACAGGCGCAGCAGCTCAACCACAACTATGCACCAGCAGCAGCTGCTGTTGCTGCTGTGCAACAGCCGACATCTGGCAAGCCCGCGGCAACACAGGCTGCTGTGGCGTCCAATAGCGACAACAGCAACATGTTGCACCTGCCGGCGCATCAGCATCATCTCAGCCAGACGCATCATCTGGCTGCCTACAATAAACCGACGCCGCCGCCGCCGCAAACCTACAACAATCCCTTGATGCACACGTTGACCGAGTCCATGTTGGCCTATCCGGTTAACTATTTTGATAAGAATATGCCGCCGGCGGCGCATATGTACAGTGCGTCCAGTGCGGCCACAGCGTACGGTAATCCCGCCCAGCAGCTGCCCGGCAACTATGTGCCCGGCAGCAACAATGGTGCGCAGCCCTCGCCACAGCAACAACAGCAACAACAGCAGCAGCAGCAACAACAGCAACAACAACAACAGCAACAACAACAGCACCAACAGGCTGCAGTTAGCTCAGCGCCAGCTGCTGAGGTCAAGGCGCCTGCTAAGCGTGGACGCAAGAAGAAGGCGACCACAGTTGCAGCCGAGGCAAATGCCAAGCAGCAGCAACAACAGCAACAGCAACAACAGGTCACAGCACAACAGCAGCAGCAACAACAACAGCAGCAGCAACAACAGCAGCAGCAGCAGCATAGCCAACATAGCCAGCAGCAGGCCATGTCGCAGTACAACATGCCACAGATGCCCACAGCTGCCGCGGCACACACTCAGGTGCTGCATCAGGGTTTCCAGCTGTATGCGGGTCTCAAGTCAGGCGGCGTGGCATCGCCAGCGGCTGGCACAGCAGCAGCAGCAGCTGCCGCTGCGGCAGCAGCAGCTGCCTCGGCTGGCAGCGCAACGGGCAGCAATCAGACGGCAGCAGATGCGGCTGCCATCTCGCTAAAGACCTCCACGGGCGGCATGGTGCCGGGCAGCGCCTTCAACTTTGCGCCCACGCCCAGTGCGCTGGGCTTGTATGGCGATCAGACAGCGGCAGCGGCGGCTAGCAGCTATTTGGATCAGTTCCGCGATGCGCCGAATCCCTACTATATGCCGCCGGCGCCGGCGCATAGTGGAGCCGCAGCAGCAAATGCCGCTGGCAATGGGTCGGACAAGACACAGAATCCATTGAATACGGCCGCTGGCTCCTATCCGTTTCTGGCTGCAGCGCATCCATCGACACGGGCCGCAGCTGCCGCGGCGGCATATCCCTTTGCGGCCACCCAACTGGACCCCAATTCGCAGCTGTACCAGCAATATCTGCGACGCGATGACTTCCATGCGCGCATGATCTTCAATCAGAGCCTGCTGGGCGGCCCGGCTGCCGCTGCTGCCGCGGCCGGCTATGGCCAACCACCGCCGCCGCCGGCTGCTTATCGACCCTCGGCTCTCGGCATGACCAAGCCGTATGATATTAATAGGCAATCATGGTTTTAGCAGTACGCCAGTGCCGCCAATGTGGACCTGCAGGGCGACGATCTGAATGCGTCGTCTACGGCGGCGGCGGCGGCGGCAGGGACGGCAGTGGGGGCGGCGGTTGTTACAGCAGGGGGCGTGGCTGCAACAGCAGCAGCTGCAGCGACAGCGCCTGCAACTGTGGCAAATGCACAGCATTAAATGCGATTGGTTTCAACAAGAGTTTTCAACGTGTGCTAAAACCGAACTGGGAGCGTTTTATAATTTGTCCTGATAATATATATATATGTATATACACATATATATATGTGTGGTTATGTATGCTGACTCGAATTCTAGTCTAATAGAATCGCGATGATTGTTTTGATTGTGTGTGTGTGTGTGTCCCCCTAACTCTCCCCACTCAACCATGTCCCAATTTACCCCCATTTCCTGCCTTTTTCACACCATTTTGTGCAATGTTCTAAACTTTCAAACGTCGCCCAGGTTTAGCACAACGTTCGCAACTAACATTTTAGATGCATCGTTTTTTATTTGGATAATCTTAGTTTAAAGTTTTTCTGTTAATGACAAATCTATACAGGTAATTGTTTATATAAAAGTTAATGGTAGTTAAAAGAAGAAATCTAAGCGGAAACAAAATGGGAAATCGATGAACACGAATGATTCTAAGAATTGTTTCAATTGCTTCCGACTATTTGTAAGCCTTTAGTTTGCAGAATTTAACTAAGCGTATTAATTGTAAATTAGCTATTATTATTATATTATATTATCTTATTACTAAGTATATAACGACTATTTACTATATTATTAGTTTTTATATGAACGTGCAGCGGGTAATTTGTTGATATATTTATTAATATAATCCAAGAAAAGCGAAAAGCGGCAAACATTTTCTTTAGTTTGTAATAAGCCAAGCGCGCAAGTTGTATAAACTTTTTGTTAAATATGCTAAGTAAACAGTACGGTCTAAACTTAAATCCAAAAATAAATGTACACACAACACACACCCATACTCATACACACACATTATATATATATATATCAACATATATATATATATATTTATAGCATACTCATTGCATGTGCAACATTCCGCCATGATTCAAATTTATTTTCCGATTTCCTCAACCCATTTTCGCTGTACATACATAAAAAAAAAAAGAAACAACTAAAAAAAGTTAAAACTGTTACGTTTTTCACATAAACATCTCAAATTGTAGCTTTAAATGCTGTAAAAACAAAAACAAAAACAAAATTCTATGTAATTTCAATGCAAATGCAAATTTATGAAAGGTAAATGAAAAATGTGTCTTAGTCGCTATTAAAATAAAACGAAACAAAAACAAAAACAAGCAGAAACGCATCAAAAAGGAGTAAAAAAAAAGGAAATGTAAAATACAATTTAAAGAGAAGAGCCCTTTAAAAAAAAAACACAAATACAATAAATCTAATAATTAATTAAGTTGTTAACGCTTATGTTTTGCAAAGGTAAATTTTTAAATTTTATAAACATAATGATAAATAAATAGTTGATAAACATTAAAAAAAGAGAGAAACAGAAAACAAAATGGGTACCTAGAGCATAAAGAGCAGCAACAAATAACATATTTAAAAAACAAGCTAAATATAAATTTATTAATAACAATAATAAATATATGTATATATATATGTATGTACAGTAGACATACACGCTAACATACATACATATATTAGAAGCTACAGCGTGCCGCATGCACAGTAAATACATAAATATATATACAAATATATATATATATATAAAAATATACATATATTGTATGTATGCATTCATATATGTAGCTATATGAAAACAAATTAAATAACAATAAAGAATTATATTGCATATTGTACAAAAATTGTTTCTGTTAATTTACGAGCACAATCCCGAGCCTCTCCAATTATTATACAATTTTCAGCGCACGCGTTCATTTGCATACAATTGCAGCGCATGTTTCCACCTTGATCGGATGGCTAGCTTACCTTTGCACCCTACACCCCTTGACCCCTGCCCCCACCCCTCATCTTCCCCAGTCGACCATGTCTTACAATTACAGCTGCCAGATCTATCTTGTGGTCTCCACACGCCTTACAGCATGGCCATTTGCCATTTGGTCGTACGTTTTTAAATAGTTTTAATTAACATTGCAGATACACTATATATATATATACTAACTATATATATATATATAGTATGCATACTAATCAACTGAGAATAGTCGCTGCTGTCGCTTTGCTGATGCTCGATACAAAAGACTTTGGCAACGAACTTGCTTGAGTCGATTAACTCTTCAAGTATGTGGAGTGGAATCTATGGAAAGTGCTTTAGCATTCCACACTGAAAATTATAGTAAGAGGGGTTACGAGAGTTTAAGTCCATTAAATCTAAAATGTTAGATTAATTAAAACTGAATATTACTTGGATTACACGGGCAATAGATAATAGAAGAAACGGAATGCTGTTTCTGACTACTAAAACTAGGAAAAAATTAAAGATCATTTTCTAAAATATTGTACTACAAAATATTGTCGAGAAATGTGTAACGCATAAAGAAGGAAACATCTCCAACCCAATGAAGTATATATACTCTATATCTACATCGTTTGCATCGAGTTTAATTCCTTTCACATATCTGTAAAACCCTAGGACAAATGTCGTAGATCTCGTTACTTTCGCGTTTACTTATTAAGTAGGCACAGCCCGTAAACTTCAGAGTTTTTCAGTAAGCATTTACATTGTTTGGGACCTATATCAGTTAGACTGACTGCAAACTTTATAAAATTAATCAATGCAAAAGTTGCGCCTGTATGGACGATAAGTGCGGTACTACACTAAGAGAAAATCAAAATGTTGTTATCGTCTCTTTAGTCTCATATATGCAGCGGTTCAAATAAATGGTAGGTATTCCAAGCATTTTGCTTTGTGTTTTTTGCTTTTTCAAATACATTTTTTTATAACGCGATTATTTCTTGAATACAGGTGCGGGCTTTTCGTCTAATAGAATACAAACAAGGGAGGAAAAAGATTGGTGTGTTGTACACTTAAATATATTGACATTGACGTGCTTACAAATTTTAGGCGCTATATTTCTTACAGTCGGTTTTTGCTGTGTAAGTTTGTGGCAAGTTTTAATTAACTCCTCCTCGTACCATATAGCTTGATCAGAAGAGCAACAGTCGATATTGCCATGCATGTCGGCTAGTTTTTGTTAATGTTAGATATCTATACAGATATCGTATCTGCCTCATCACAAAGCTCTATCGGAATAATCGAGGGTATTTAAGCTACGGCATGCCGTAGTTAGCAGTTCTTTCTGGTTAACCTTCTCTTGTCATTACCCAGAAACTAAAATTCAGATTGTTTTATACAGATAGAAGATTATTTAGTTTTATACAGGTAAAAGAATCTCAGGTGGAAGACTGCATTGCGCAAATCGGTTCAAACCAATACGTCGGGCTCGGGTTCGCGGCTTTGCTCAACATTTTTCAAGAATTACGAGTAAAATTCCCACTGAGAGTTTAGCAAGAAAGGCCAGTTCTCGGAAAGATTATGGCATATTGGAAGCGGGTTAACTATGAAAAGGCTTGGCGAATTTGTCTTCAATTGGGTTTTCGTAAATATTATTATCCTACAAGAGATGAACAATATTTTGTAAAGTAGGCGAACGTTTGAGACTTCACCAATTTTCAATAAGCACGCAAATGCTTAGCATTTACGCATTATAGAAAAAATAGCCGACCCTAACTCGACAATAACCGGATTCAAACAGAGATCAAAATTTTTCCGTTTAAAATGTGCCAATGCAAAACGTGTGAATATTTGGATACGTGCTGTTGTTCAACATTGAAATCAAAACAAATTGTTTTTATCTTCTGGACAGTTACACATTCCCTATTGTCTTTCCTACTATCACATATGATAGCCTGCGGTAAGATATATCATGAAGAGCGCAACGATTTGCCGGCAAATAATCGCATTTTCCTTTAGGGTTCCTCAAAGAAACGCATTTGGTTATCTACGCATATTTTGTAATATCCGTCGTACATTTACTAGGTGGAATCCTTCTTGGAATAGGATTTTTTTTTGTATGTGTTGCTACTTCTAGTACTTAAAGGTATATTTTTAATATTAATTCCTTATGCTTATCTAGAAGTTAGCCTCCACGTATCTAGCTGGCACAGTTATAAGTTCAATAGCACCCTTCAGTCTGCTGGGTTATTTGGCAGGTTGGTAAGAATTAAAGAACAAGAAAAACAACACAAATTTCTCTTTACTTATGCTTTTACAGTTTTCCAAATTTTTTTCATTATATTCGCCTGTCGGTATTATACCTTAGAGCTAAAACAATAGGATTCGCAAACATACTAAATTCCATAATGAGCCCGCTTATTCATTATTCAATGTTGCCTGTGTGAGCTTTATCCATAATTTACAAGCTGTTATCAAATTATCGGTAAACAAAAAAAGAAAAAGAAAAAATGTAAGCTCTGAAATAAAATCAAATCAAAAACACATTTCCAATTGTCGATAACTCCCCCCCCCCCCCCCCCCCCCCCCACCATTCCTCGAATATGAATCCACAGCTCGTCAGAGCTAGAGACTCCAAAGTAGGTAGGTATCCAGAATATTGAACTTTTCGGATTTTGCACATATTGTGTTGCCAGTTTTAAGCCCCAAAACTTTTTTACAAACTGAGGAAAAGAGAAAACAGGTATCCACCATCGGGCTCTCAAAAATCAATATTGTTAGATTACATTAAGAATGAAAAAGTTTTGAGCAAAGGCGCGAGCCCGAGCACGAACAAAATAATCTGATTTGTTTTCAAAACTTTTATTTTCAACAAATAATTTTGCAACAGCTTATTTGGAACATTGAATTTTACATTTAAAACACACAAGCATTGAATTTGACATATTATTTGCTTCAAATAGTTTACTATCGAACCCTACATTTTTACGCTATAATATCGACATGCCCATATGATAAGAAAGATTTGAAGAACTGAAACGAAAACATGATGGGAAATTTATCAACATTTTTGTTGCGCTTTAACTTACTTGGCAGCCACATCAGTAACGAGGTAAAAATTATGCCGAGTAAATATAGAAGTTTTTTGTTCTGGATCAACAGAAAAGAAGGTTAACTAGAAAGAACTGCTAACTACGGCGTGCCGTAGCTTAAATACCCTCTCGATTATTCCGATAGAGCTTTATGACGAGGCAGATACGATATCGATATTGATATCGAACATTAACAGAAACTGGCCGACATGCATGACAATATCGACTGTTGCTCTTCTGATCAAGCTCAATGGTACAAGGGTATTTTAGACGAGTTAATTAAAACTTGCCACAAACTTACACAGCAAAAACCGACTGTAAGAAATATAGCGCCTACAATTTGTAAGCACGTAAATATCAATATTATTAAGTATGCAATAGTTGCATCTCTTTCGCTTCTTGTTTGTAGTCTATTAGACGCAGCTGTAATCAAGTAATAATCGCGTTATTATAAAATGTATGTGAAGAAGCAAAAATGCTTGGAATACCTACCATCTATTTGAACCGCTGCATATATGAGAGTAAAGAGAGTATATACCCAGGACAAGACGATAACAACAATTTGTTTTTCCTTAAGTGTAGTACCGCACTTATCGTCCATACAGGCACAACTTTCGCATTGACACATTTTTAAAAAATAATTTTTAATATATATAGAATTTTTTTTTTTAATTTTTTAATGTTTGCATTCAGGTAGTGTTATAATAAAACTGATACAGGTTCCAAACAATGTAAATGCTTATTGAAAAACTGTGAAGTTTACGGGCTGTGCCTACTTAATCATTTTTTCCTTTTAAGAATATTGGCCAACAATTTTGCGTATGAAATCGCACGCCTATGTTTCGTTAAAGGAAATTACCCGTCGTCGTCGGGTTAAAATAATAAATGCTGAGAATGCAAACTTTTCCATGTTCCTCGTTGCGGTTAGGAAACTTTCTTAATTATTATATGAATTACTGGCTTCGTTTCGTTTAAAATAAAGAACAAAACTTTTCCGTTTGGATTTCTTAATGTGTATCAAGAATAAGTATGCAGTTCTTTATTAACCTTTTGTTCATACATCAAGTGCATTCAATCGACTGGTTCGAACCTGCCAAAATCTAGTTGACATCAAAATCAATTTAAGCACAATTTTGATGTAAATATTTTTTAAATGATTAATTATTATTATTGTTAATTAAATTATAACAAATAACAAGAAATATGTATAATAACTGAATTTGCTGCTGAGTTTGAACCAGCGACTGCTCGCTTATTGGTTCGATGCTCAGATATTTAGTAACGTTTGCCAAAAAACTTAAATGGGTTGAATTTTGCAAGAAACCGCCTTTGATAATCTCTTCCAAGCCGAAATGAAGCCTGGGTCAAATTTGTCAGTCAGGATAAACTCTTTTTATAAATCTTTCTCTCTCACACACTTACAGTCACACTCTTCTATTCTCACACTCTCTTCTCATTAAGGCTAGTATCTTTTGGCTTTTGTGTCTTTGCTTCTTTACTAAGCTAAAAGCAGTTAAACGATGCTAATTGTATGTGATTTTAATTAAAAATTGAATTTAAATATAGAATACAACCATTTGCCATGCTTTTCAAGCCAAAATCATCAAGAAATTGGCTATGCTTTGCACAGTTAGCGATTATTTGCCTGCGAATCATGCGTAATCCACTTATATCTTAATTTTTCAGATACATGATTGACGCATTGCACTAAGAGTACCATTGATTAATGATCTAGTTGCCAGTCAAGCTGCGAGCGAAGCTGTTAAATAGGTTTGTTTGTGCTGCGATTTTCATCCGGTTAAAAGGTTGCACGGGTGCGGGTTAAAAACAATATCAATTATTGTGCATGTTAATTAGTTTATTCACCGCCAATTCGTTGGCAATCAAATCATGAATACAAAAATATACACACAACAAAAAGCCGTTTTGCACAAAAATCTGTCAACAAAAATGCAGCCAAACGAGCTGCAAATCAAATGTATAAATGAAAACCCACAAAAATAAAAACAAAAGTAAAAAAATAAAAAACATTTTGCATATTTTGAACTTAAATGCCGGCAATTACGTAACATGAACAATTCGTTTGATCTGAGAATTTCAAAAATGCTAATTGACGCTAACAAACATTGTTTAGCTTAAGATACATTTTACCCTGAGGCTGGCTGGCATTGTAGGTGGCGGGAAGGGGGTATGTATTAGGGTGGGGGGTGTCATGGAGTGGACGCACGACAGTCACGCAGCAAATTTTCACGTGCCGCATAATAAAAAGAAAAAAGGCCTGTGGCAGCATTCTAAAATAGCCTTCCGCCTCGTTGCAAATATCGCACAATTATAAAAGCTAAGTTATACAATAGCTAATAAATATATATATCTACATATATTTATTTGTATAGGCAAAGCTAATAGAACTAATGTGCGTGACCAAAAAGGTCAGACAATTTATATAAATAAACATATATATTTATATTGGTATATATCTATATCCATATCGGTATATATCTATATAAATGTTGGTACTTAGTTTGTTGTATTAAAAATGTATTCTATTTTAGATTCAATATAGTAAACATTATTAAAAAAAAAAAAAACTAAGTTTGTTGAGTTCAAGTTATGGCATTGGTGCGGCTTTAGAGTTCAGTATGGTTTTTTTGAGCCAGGTTGCAAGACTGGCTTTGCACAGAACAGGTTCGACCCAAGAAACTCAATTTATTCTTTTTATTTTTTAACAATAAACCAAATCATGAAACAAACACAAGACAAACCCATATCAATTTTTTCGAATGAAAGTGTTTTATTGAAAAGTTAATGCGCATGTTTGACAGAGCTTATGAGAATTTGCTAAACGATATCTTATTAGAGGATATACTGTTGAGAATATTATAATTTTGTCATGAACTAAGGAAACATAAGGAAACATCTGCGAGCCCAGAAAGTATAAATATATAGCCATATTTCCGTCTATGCGAACTAGTCTCTAGTCTCTGCATAATTCCCTCTTTCTGTTGCAGCCAAGATATAATAATAAAATAAAATTTTTGAAAATATTTCAAATGTTAAATATTCATTTAGGATAATAGAAAAGCTGTTTATTTACACCAATAATTACCGAACGGCTGAATGTAAAATTCTGTTCTGCTTAATAATATTAAATGTTATTTAAAAGCTATTGCTGTTCGTTTTAAAAATGTATCTGGAACATTAAAAGCCCAATGAGTGCCTAATGGAATGAAATGCTATAAGTCAATTGCTAAATGCAATAATCCTCTTTACATATCTGGTTATATGAACAGCTTTTCAGCTTGAGATATTATATAGTTAGATACGTGCCTGAATAGTTTCTCATATTTGCAAAGCATGCTTCCAGACATTAGAGCATCATCCCGCATTAAGCTTCATTCTAATGATGACTTAATTAATGTATTAGATTTGTGTAATGGGCACATTAGGTTTGACTTTTATAAATTCGTGTGCAGTTAGTTACGGCATAAGTCGTGAGAATTATGGCGCATGATATGGCGAGTTTTTTTTCTCCGTTTTTTTTTTTTCAGTTTCTTTGTATTTGTTGGGTGGCATTATTGCAGCTGTTGTTGTTGCTGTTGTTTTTGTTGTTGTTATGGCACAGCACCTGATCGAGAACGAACTGGGCATGCTTTTACTTTCTAAATTTATATTACCCGTTTTACATACAGATTATGTATGTGGCGAGGCTGAGACTTACAGAAGAATTGGTTTAGTCACAACGCATGCACGTTTATTGTGACTTCCGTTTGTGATTCAGATACCAGGGAGTTATGTATATCAACCAATTAATGCAAATAAATTAAATTAAAATGCGCTTAAAAATAGCAGGCGTTCTCTCTCTTTTTTTTTTTCTGGATTTTTTTTATTCGCAGCTGCTTCGCCGCCCTTAGGCCCCGGCCCAGGGCTTTGAACTCTGTGCGAAACACCTTTTTTTTCTTTACTGTCTGAACACGCGGCCTTAGCGGTTGCGAATTGCGGTTTGTGCGGGTGTGGTTGAACTTGGCTTGTATCGATTGATTGAGCATTAGATTATTTCATCTATTGTTTGCCCAGTTGCCGCCGTAACATTAAATGCTGCCAGCGGCGCTGACATCTGCCAGCTTATAAATAATAATCAAACATATCAGAAATGTCTATAGAAATCTTTTTAAAGTAGTTTCATGCGCTAACATCTTTAGCGCACATGATTAATGTAATGCCTGCTGCTAGAAAGCCACGTGTCACTTAGCCCAGTCAACAAATTCTACATGGATAATGCAAAACAACAGGTGGGAGTACTCAAAACTGAAGTGCCCGACCAAAAGATACCCTGAACATCCCGTCAATCTCCTTTCCTCGATACATACACACATATAGATATAGATAGATATAGATATAGATATAGATATAGATATAGATATAGATATAGATATAGATATAGATATAGATATAGATATAGATATAGATATAGATATAGATATAGATAGATATAGATATAGATATAGATATAGATATAGATATAGATATAATATAGATATAGATATAGATATAGATATAGATATAGATATAGATATAGATATAGATATAGATATAGATATAGATATAGATATAGATATAGATATAGATATAGATATAGATATAGATATAGATATAGATATAGATATAGATATAGATATAGATATACAATAATATTACACCCACTTATACCCTACAAATTTTGAACGCGTTTCGCGCATAAAAAGAAAGACTTAGGCGACAAACTTGATACAGTTGATGTTAATATGATGTTTATGTGTTTATGGAATGCACTAAATAACATTTCAATACATTACAACAACAACAGCAAAAATAAGATAAATAATAAACGACAAAAAACGAGACACGTCGTCTAATTAGCCGCAATATTTCAGCCTAGTTAGTATGTTGGCAGCTGTTGGCACTATCTAATGAAATTGTTAGTTCACTTTATGAGCCAGCTGTGCCATGAAATTGTAATTTATTTTAATTTGCACAGTAGCAACTGCCTATATATATATAATATACTAATATACTAAGTATATACTAAGCATATTTAACTGTTTAGCCGACCGGCTCTTAGAAAGTGCAAATGCTTTTGACCTTCGCTCGCATTCACCGCACTTGCCGCACCGTAATTGGAGGAGGTCTTGTAATTAAGGCTTTTTGGTCACGCAATATTAAATTATTCTCGATTTTTATATAGTTACATATGTATATTACAGAATCTATCGATTCTCACACGTTCGATTGGTTTTTCGGGTTTGGATTTTCGATTTGGGTTGTTTTTTCTTTTTTTAACTCAATGCGCGAGTCGCCATTGGCGATCGCCTTGACAGCGGCTAAGACAACAAGAAGTTGACAGTTGAACAATTTACATAATATTATTTACCCGACGAGGCTTATCAAACAAATCACACACAAAAACTAGGCGTTAAGTGGAGTGTGCTAAATACGCTAGAACTAGATAAACTATGCAAAATCTGTTTTGGAATCTGTGAAAACCTGTTTGGCTGCTACAAAAAGAAAACGAAAAAGTATAAAAAAAAAGAACAGCATAAAAGAACAAACTCAAGCCCCAATAAATATATATATATATATATTTAGTTTATATACGGCGACTGTACATAATTGTATATCTTCCAATGGGGTTTAAGCGCATTGTACGCTACGTTTCCTAGGAAATATTTGGCACAGGCTTATGCAAATCATAATGAAAATACCCATAAAGCAGCAGCAGCTGACATCCAATCACAAATGGAACGCTGCTCTTTAATGCTCTGCTGGAGGGTATTACAGTTTAATCATGCAATGTGTAACGCGTGCAAAGAGTTTTTTTGAGCCCATATGCCATATGAATACTCATTAATCAGTAGTCGAGTCGCTATAGCCTAGTAAACTACCGGATCGAACTACTATAACATGTAGCTATAACTACTTACAACAAGGAGCGAAGAATTGGTTGGAAAATGAAGTGTTATATATATATGGCATATGTACTCGAACAGTAAAAACAGATTAAAATCGAGCAGATCGGATCACTATAACATGTAGCTGGAGGGAGGGAAGAATTAATCAGAAATTCAACTTTTCTATTATTATACCCTGGTAGAGGATATTACAATTTAAGCATGCAATTTGTAAAACGTGGAATGAGCTAATATATGCTAGTTGGTTTTCGTCATGATTCAGCCATCTGTGACCCCATACATATACTAGATCAGCATCAACAGTCGATTTGATATAGCCATATCTCTGTCTATCCGTCTTTCTGTTTTTATGTGAACTAGCCTGCTGCAGGCAATATATATGTCGGAACCATATCGGACCATATATAGCTGCCATAGGAATTTCTTGCATGAAATACTTTTTAGTTAGAAGATATCTCTGACTACTATATCATATAGTTCTAGGAAAATTCAGTGCTCTGAAAAACTTTTCTGTTTTTTACTGTTTTTTACAATATCTTGACTATACTCGGCAATCGCAAGCTGTTCTACTCTCCTATCTGCAAGTGCATTTGATATTCGCTGTGCCGCAAATAGACCGTCTTATTTTATCTCAGCTCATTCAACCGCAGCATTTCCGATTCAGCAGCAGCAAAAAACAAAAAAAAAAAAGATATATAAAAATTAACACTCAGAATTAACAGGCGATCAACATTTAGAACGTTCAACACAAAAATCCCCATGTAAGTGGGAAAAATGTATTTCGAAAGTAACTCAACAACTGGCCATGACTCAGTTGGCTGCTGTGCAACCTGCCGCTGCCGCTGCCGCAGCTGACGCGGCTGCTGCTGGTGCTGCTGCTGCTGACGTCTACGCGCACGTCTTGGGGAAGACCGGAGACCAGAGACCAGTCCACGCATTTGTGGCAGCAACAAATGGATAGAGTTCGCGGCAAGCAACGTCAGCAGCAATTATGGGGATTTTGGCTTAAAGACTGGAATTTGAATTTCTGTTTAATTTTGTCGATTGCCATCAAAGCGTAACTCTGACTCAAAACGTGTCGCACACAGTTGATCACACTTGAAAAATCCAGTGCACATTGGTTGCTTTTTGGGCTTCCGACTGAGTGGTTGGTTGTTGTTGTTGTTGTTGTTGTTTTGTCGAAAGGGCAGCTGTCAACGGCAGCAACGCATCGATTTTTCGCCACAAGGACAAATGCCACCTGTTTGATGGCTAATCGGGTCAGGTGGGAAAAACGTTTCTCAAGAGCGTCCACCCGTTGGGCATGTCAAGAGCAAAAACAATTTGAAGCCTGGGTCCCACTTAATAGCGCTCATAAATTCCGCAATTTTGTGCACATGACATTAAAGTTTATAGCAAGTACATTTAAAAGGAATTCAAAAAACAAAACAAAAACAAAAAACACATTTAACAGACTTTAATTTTAACTTTCTTTGTGTAGTTGGTCTGCCAGAAACGGGTTCAGTCTTATTTGTGTGTTTTGTTTAATCAAAGTTCGCGATTTAACGATTAAATAATATTCATAAAATTATTGGTGCACATGCGTTTTTGGGGGCTCGTTCCATCGAACTTGGCGTCTGATTAAGCCAATTAAAATATATTCAACGCGCTGCCTGGCCACACCCAGAAAATGTTTGCTGCACTTAAGTAAGGCAAAACCATTAACAAAAACCAGAGTTTTAATTTAAACCAGCCTCGTTATCAGCCTCTCCGTTGACAGCCCAATAATGCCGCTGCCCATTGCTGCCGCCGAAAAGTCCCATATCTAATTATGGAATAAATGTTCATCCTTTATCGATAAGACATGCGTATGCAGGTTCATTTCTATATGCAGAAGAGCACACGACTAGGGGCTACGCCTACCCAACGCCGATTTAAAATGGGTAAAAGGAGTTTTGTGCAAAAGCATGTAACAGAAAGAAGGCACACTTGTTGGCGAAGTATTAAAGAAAGTCTTCAAAAATGAAAAGTAAATAAAATTTAAATATTGAAAAAGTTGATAAATAAGAAATATAAAAAATTGAATAAATCTGTAAAGGCATGGAAAATCAATGTCAATTGTAAACTAAATAAATGCAAATTTAATATAATATATATTAATTAAATAAATTTGTTTACAACTTACCCTTTTAAATATTCCATGGTGGCAAAGACATTTGTTGTTTGTGGTTCCTCAATGAAAAATTTGTCGATTATGAAATTGAGTTGAATATTAATATATTATTTATTTAATGCTGGTTTTGGCGTCCTTTCCATTTTCAATATTCAATTACGGACCTCGAGCCAGCTAATTAAATATTTATATTTAATGTTATTAAATGCAAAATATATGCATTATATGCTTATAATGCCAATGAAGGCTGAACGGAGAGGTTGCGCCTTTTAGGGAAGGTTTTTGGGAAGACTTTTATTTTAGCCTTTTTGAGAGAGTAATTGCAACTGTTGGACATTCTTTTCAATTGTATTTAAATAAGTTATTTCAATAACAAGAGCGATGTTCTGATGCCCCATAATGAAAGGTTTCCGAACTGTCGAACGCGAATTCTCATGTGTTATTCAAGTTTATTTGAAATCTTTTTAAATGCCGTTTTAAACGTTTCAGAGAGTTTACATCAAAAATGGCCCAGTCATGATCATAGGAGAATTTTTGCAAAATGAACACGATTTCGATGAATGGCGAAATAGGCAGAATAACATTTGTTTTGTTGCGCCCAGCGAAGGGAGAATAATTCAGAAATGCATTTTTATCAATAGGAATCTTGTCCGGATTTTGTTACAGTTATTTGTGACATCCGCACATCGACTGTACACAAAATACTCAGGATCATACTTTTCTAGTTTTTGGCAAGTTTTCTCGATTGATTTTTAATTTTAATTTTAATTTCGTGTGTAGAACTCGGGCACATCCTTGGGTAACCTCCAGCCTAGCTGCATGTGCTAAAGTCATTTTCGGCCTAAATAATAAATAAGTAAGAATTATATAATTAATATATTAAAGAGAAATGTTATTAAATATAAAAACCATACATATTTGTTATAGATAAATTAAATTATTCTATATTTGCAGGCTAACCTATCTATTTCATCACATGGAAGCAGCTTCTATACATTCTAAAATATAGAAAAATAATAGATGCTACGTAAGACGAACAATAATAAGTACTAGTATGATACGAATTAACTGTTTATTTATAATAGCTTTATTTGTTGATATATTTACGACACGTACGAATTATATTAAATACTTCGTCTGTTTTCCCGTCACTTGGGGGTGAGGTCATCTTTTGATTTCAGTGGAAAATATATATTGTAATATATTTAAACAGTCATACATATTCCAATTTATAGGGTTTGTACATTTCTATAGCATGCGATTAATTTAACTATTCGCATTTGATTTTAGCCAAGTTTAGTTTTGCACAAAGAAGAGCGCAAATTTTCCGATTTGCAGTTAGCTCACATGGGGCACAGCAGCTAATTTATGTTAATGCCAACCATTTGGAAACCCCTTTTTCGAAAACAAAATGCACAAGATCCACAACTCGACGCATCTGAAATGTGTTCGGGCGTCAATGATGGGATCTACGAGTCAGTAATTCCCCTGCAAGTGGGCCGAAAAGTGTTTACCTTCTTTATACTGTTTTTTTACACATTTTTTTCGCAGCCGGCCGCGATGACTGTTTGCTGGGCGTGAGCTTTGGATCTCGTGATTGCCGCACGTGACGTAAAACCAAAACAAAATTCACAAAGCCCAAAAGACAAATCAAAAAACAAAAAAGAAAAGAAAAAAAAACAAAGTTGAGCGCGTTCGCGGGGCTATTTTGCATATTCAAATGAAATCAATTGACGGCTAAATGCGAGACAAAACAAAGCTAAACGGCGTCATCTTTGGGCCAGTGAATCAACCGCAAATCCAGTTCGATAAGCTCTAATTGGTATTGGAGAGTGGAGCATGGGATTGATATATCAAATTCCCCCCCCATTCATATTGACGGGCTCTGACAGCGCACAGCTGAAACTTGTGGCGATTTGGGAAAGCAAAACTTCGATATTATACAATAATTAGCAACAAAAATGATTGCCATTTGTAATTAATGCACATAATTGTTAGCCAGATCGATTAGAAATAGTATTCGTAGTAGTAGTAGTAGCAGCTGTAATGGGAAAAAATGTTTATAAAAATGTTTTTCAAATGGATTTTTAATTGTATTATTAATTGCACCTTATTCAATTATGAATTATATTTGATTCATACAAAGCATTGCCACAGCCCTTGCAGCTCAGCATATTAAAGACTACGCAAAGAAAATAAAAAAAAAAAGACAGAATGGAACAGATTATTCTAGGAAGTTGCCAGAACAAGGGCAAAACTGTGTACTTGAGCAGCCAGAGAGAGCTCGAGACGGCCATAAGCTGACAGATATGCGGCCCTGAATATAGCATAAGCTATATATTCCGTATATCTCAAGAAGTAAAGCTCTAAAGCCTAGATATAGGAACATTTTATGATAGTCTATGGCATATACAGAACAAGTGCAACATTATGTACTTGAGCAACCAGAGAGAGAGAGAGATAGAGAAAGAGAGAGAGAGAGAGAGAGAGAAAGAGAGAGAATAGAAAATAAAAGTTTTATGCTCAACATCTCTCAAGAACTGAAGCTCTATTGCCTAGATAGGGAAAGCTATAAAGTAGACATAAGCTGAATATTCCAGATATGTCAAGAACAAAAGTTCTAAAGACTACAGGAACTTTTATTCGGCATCTATAAACACTGGCTTAGGTTATTCTCCACTCATAAGACACTATGGAAAAGTAATTCCATGTTAATCCTTAAAGGAGCACTCAAGTTATGCTAGACTCTCAACAAGAACAAGTCTATATAATTGGCTTAGAAGCTTTGCACAGATCAACCTTTTACATATTTGGCCAATTGTTCACATTCATATAGAATTCATAGCCTGCAACATTCTAGGGCGGCAATATCACTTGGATCAATAGAATCAACATTTTTTAATTCGCAAATTTCTAAGTCAAAGTCTTTCTAAGTCAACAACGCTTTCTCAATGCCAATATTTGGCCAAACGGAACTACTTTCATTATATGACCTGGCACCCATGATTGATGGTCTGAGCTCCGACAAAGATACTCAATTAATATATACTCCATTTATATTTGTTTTATTTTGAAAAAAAACGTAACTTTTTGTGAACAAGTCAAACAGAAAAGAGTAGGAAAAAAAATGGACTACGTGACTTAAACATTTGTGTATATTTTATTGTGCCTTTGATTAGAACACAAGAAAAAAAACAAATAAAAATATCGAGAAAAAAACCCAGATATAAATTTAAATGTAGTTTTCAACTTTTGCCGCCTGACCGAAAATTGTTAATTATAGAACCTAATTTGCTTGAAAACTTTTTTTTATCTTGATGATTGATCATTAACAAAATAAAAACCGAAAGACCCAAAAAAAAAAATTATGTCTTATGTAACAAACGAAAAAAATTGCAAAGCCGAGCTGCGGCATCAACCTTCAATTCTCGAAGGAGCAATTTCAAAGTTTCACAATTTATTTGTAGAAAACAATTAACCCAAAAAAAAAAAAAATCAAAAGTGTTTGGGAGTTAGAGAGCGGGCGTGAGGGGGCAGGGACTGTGCGTAGTTGTACTTCACTTGTTTGGGTTTTGATCATGAAACTTCAATAAAACAAAACAAACAAACTGGTTGAGCAAGGCGGGAACCGGGCCGGAAAGGGGCTGAACCTGGTCCGAACCGTGCCGTGCCGTGCCAGACGGGGGGGCGGGGCGTGTTAGAAGCTGCGGCCAGTCAGCCGTTAAAGGGTCATGGCCAAGGACAAGGAAATCCCAGTGAATGGCTCTGCCTACGAGCCGTGAGTCACAAACGACTCCGTCTCCGTCTCCGGCTCCGGCTCCGTTTCTAGCTCCGCCTTCGGTCGCCAAAGCCAGTTGTTGTTGTGCGTTTTGTTACTTTTAAAACCTTGAGCAATTGTTGTTATTGCTGTTCTCTTCTACTATATATTTAATAACTTTAGAATGAGCTTAACAAATGCCGTGCACAATTATAAATTTTAATATTAAATAAAAGTCAAATTAAACAGCGGACTTTTAAATGTTATGCCTTAATTATGCAACCGCACAATAAACAATCTTTTGTTGTTGTACAAGCAGCATATAAAAAGTCGGAAGAAAAGTTTGCCAAAAATCCGTGTGTGTGTGTGTGTGTGTGTCTGTGTGTGCGGCAAAAAGAACTAGACCCCGAACTGCCTAGAGTATGATGAATGTGCAAATGTTAAATGTTAAATATGTGCAAATGTTTATGCAATTAATTGCACATAAATTGCAAAATATTTCGAATATTCCTAATAACTTGTGAATTACAGTTTGCAATTTTTTTTGCTTTTCTGACACATTATGAAACATGTATTTACATTGAGAATAATTGGGTGAAAAGGGATTTGTACAAACGTACGTAACAGGCAGAAGGAAGATCAGTGACGACCTTATAAAGTATATATATTCCTGTACAGCATCAATAGACGAGTCGGTCTAGCTAGAGGCTGAAATTTTAAAAGCAGATTCTTTTAGTGCCCCCTCAGTAAAAGTTTGTTTTCGATAATCGATAATTTGCCCTTGCAATCGATATAAATCGCTTTCGATCTTCTGGTTTTGACCAAATCTCTTAAGCTTTAACAGCTAGAGTTTACAAATTTGACATTCAGCTTCAAGAATACCATATGATATTCGGAACAGAGGGAACTTAATTTTTGTTTTATTTAGTTTTATTGCCGTATTTGTTGTTGGTAGAAGTTGCAGGGTATGCCCAAGTCGTGCACTCCCGAGTTTAGCTCTCTTACTTTATTTGTACACAATCTATAAACAATATCTCTAATTTATTGTATGCTCCCTGTGAACTCGGCTGTCTTTGAAGCTGTGCTGCTGAAATTGGAAACATAAGCTTCTTCTGGCTTCAGAAGTTATATACACCAGATCTGACTAGATCGGTGCACTATATTATGTAAATGAATGATAAATAATAAAGATGTCATATGAAAAACTGAACTGAGTTTGTTTAGTATTCGTGTCTCCCATAAAAATTATTTTCCAAAAGTGTATTGAAACTTCGACTATGTCGTAAGCAAATTTTCTTTTCTATATATTATTTCAGATGCTTGCTTTTGGCTATATAATTCTTGCCAATTTATTAATTAGTATTTCAATTGAATAACGTGCTGATTATCTCATTGCTAGTTAGCTATAATCATTGTTAATTAGCTTATGCAACTCGAATTCGAAATTGTTGTCAGTTATTTTGTTAACAAATATTTAACGAGTGCACCCTTTTGATAAATCTTTCTATGTATGCCGGTTAGTCAGCCCATTATTAAGAAAAAAAAAAATTAGAAAAAAATTGGTATGCAATTAGCTCTTCCAATTCGCAGCTCAATTTGTGTGTCTGGATTTTAATAACTTCATATGAAGCCCCTTTTTTGTTTGTCGTGAGTAAGCGGCAGCTCATTAGCTCATATTTATCGGTAGGTTAAATATAATCTATAGCTTCGATCGGCATGCTGCAAGGATGACGGCATTTGCCACTGCAACAACAACAATAACAACAACAACAACAACAAAGGCAACAACAAGTGCAACAATTCGCTCGACACCGAATGTAGATCAATGGCAAAGCGAACGGCTAAATCTGAATTTGGTTAAATGCGAGTCTCAAACTTCAACTAAATGTCATTCAAATGATCTAAGACCAGCATCCAATTAGGCGCCAGCCTCGGCTACAACTACAACAGCAGCACTTCACCTGCATGTACACACATTAATATATATCTATATTTTTGTGTTTATTTATGTGTGTTATCAGTTTACAGGAATTAGCTAGTTAGTCGCGAATTGTCAGCTGCATGTGCTATGCAAATGTCTAAAC